ATAGAACGTGTCCAATGCATAACGCCTCTGCGAGCTCACATAACCCGTTCAAATGTCCCCTCAGTTGATATGATTCACAGCATAAAGAGCATACCAAACAAATCCAACCTACGCCTTATAGTCAGCACGTCCTCAGTGTTGCGTCGATGCACATACAAGAGCCTTTAGCATGCGAGGGTCTTCTGGGAACCGGCTGTAGTAAATATATGTCTGGGTTGTCGTCACCCCGAAGAGCATGTATGAGACTAAGACACCAATCTGCAAGGCACCTGGAAAACGGCATTAATCGACGAAGAGAGCTTCTCCATGCGCACCGATAGTGATGTTGACATCGAAGGATATGGGGGAATCCATTAGGTGAGTGCTGATTCTCCCGGTGAGGGGAGACGGCCAGGTAATATATACAGGTCCGAGCTATATATGGGAAGGGATCTAATTGATGTTGAGATGATCATGATCGCCTGATAAGGCACAAAAGCTTGTTTCGAAGATTTACCGAGAGGGTTATTGGACTATCTGCAGTACGGGACAGTTGTGAACAATCAGTAGGGAGGAAGTGGAAACTCATGAGCCTCGCCCTTGAAGATGGAGATAAACACTTTGTATTCCGTGTAATGCTACCTACCTCCCTACCTACCTCCGCATCAGGTCATCATTAGATATGAGATTCATCAAAAACTCCGATTGGTGGGATAATTTGAGTCTTGAATTCAGTACAGAAACAGTTATGGTTCGTAGCATCCAAACGGACTACACCAGTAAATTTTTGAGTCCAGGCGAGGCCACGTCGGGTGATATTGATTTCGATGGACAGTGCAGTATTTCATAAATTTTCTGCTCTTTACGCCAGTGGGAAGAAGGAGGTGAAATCATGGAAGTCTCCCATTGATGAATCTCACGGGTGCCAGATGTGGCAGATGGATGGCGTTCTTTGTGCACAGAAGTCCCAGATATCCATGCCAAAATATGCACCACGTAAAGTAAGATGTCCAGATGTCTGGTGCGAACTTTCGTTCATAAGAAGCATACTGAAAAATAGAAAATTTCACCCTGGCTGACAACGTCGCTGACGGAGTTGGTTTAAGCTGCAAAGAAAACTAGGCTGAATACGTATTTGAAACTAGAGGTTCCAGGCAATTACCGAAAACGGGAGCTTAAACTGCTTTTTCGATACTGCTCAATGTAGCGGTTTCAGTTACAGTTTCTTTTCGTTTGAAAGTGACACCTCAACACGGTGATCAAACCACAGATTCAGTCAAGCTGAAACCAACAGTTTCGGCTTGGCCGCAACGGCAGCGGAAAACAACAGTTTCAGCTGCTGTTCGGTATTGCTGAAGTCAGGGTTGACTCTTATTGTCTCGGCGGTTGCCGGCTGAAAACGACAATTTTAGTCGCAATTTTGGTAAGAGCACACTGAAACAACAAGATTCAGCCATGTCCTCGGCAACTCTGAAAATCGTAGTTTCGGCTGCCATTCTAGCCAAGCCGAAGCCGTCGGTTTCGGCCCGGCTGAATATGCCGCTGAATGAACAAATTTAAGTCGCACTTTCTGACGGAAAGGAACATGTAACTCAAACCAGTATATTCACCAGCGGCGAAGCGACAGCATAATCTAACAGTTTCGCTAACATATTCCAATTCTATCAGTTTCAAGGGCCTTTTCAGCACCGTATTACAGTCTACACCAACGCTTTCGGCAACGTTGTCGGCTGGGATGAAATTTTAAATTCCCGGTGTGAAGGTCGTGACGGAGTTTCAAAATCTTGATCCTGTAATCACACGATTTGTCCCGCGGTTGAACTTCTAGACAGAATGCAGTTCACATTAACAGGCCGCACGTGCAGTATGCTGCCTAATGCAGAGTTAAAAGGTCGCAAAAAGTTAATCGGACCTCAAGCGTGGCCATAATTGGATCCCCTTAACTGGGCAACAAGCAAAATGACAAGATCAGTCCTTCCATGTCTGCAATGCCTTTGTGATGTGTGATAAATGCCGCCTCCCACAGTTGCACATCCAAAAAATAGCACTCTCAGGAGAGGAATATGGGGTTTAAGGAGTACTGAATGGTATTGACCGAGAAAAAGTTATGAACAGCACAGAAAAGCCTGCGGCTTTGCGCAACGCAAAAAAGCCGCATGCGGCCCGTGCAGCTTTTGCGCAAGCTGTCTAATGTCCTTGAGTGGATTTGAACCACCGACCCTTCCACAGATTTGCAGATCTCAATAGCAGGTGGGAATGAGTTATCTTGTACTCCACGAGGACTTTCCAAGTTTCAGAGCAATGACTGATAGCTGCGCATCTGAACCAATACGGATTGCGGGCCACGTTTCTCGCTCTTGTTCGAGGCGCAAGTCACGAAATAAGGGAAAAAAGAAATCATTTCACACACACACCATGTCCCGGGGTGGATTCGAGCAACCGACCCTCCCACTAATTCGCTGCTATTTTGATACCCGAAACAGGTGGGAGTGAGTTACCATACTCCACGAGGACTTTCCAGGCTCATTCGGAGCCGCGATAGCTGCGCCTCCCAGCGACCATAAATTTTAGTTACTTGACGTTCTGGCTCTCGGACGAGGTGCAAGTCATACACAAGACTGGCATTCAAGCTCCAGAAGAAGAAGAAAATTGAAGAGGTTGAAGAAAGAAAAAAACAGTACCCCAAACAGGATCATGTCCCTGAGTGGATTCGAACCACCAACCCTCCCACAAGTTTGCAGATATCAATAGCAGGTGGGGTGAGTTGCCGTACTCCATGAGGACTTTCCAGGCTCATTCAGAGCATGACTGATAGTTGCGCATCTGAACACCAATACGGATTGCGGCGTGGCCACGTTTCTCGCTCTTGGTCAAGGCGCAAGGTCACGAAACAAGATAAAAAAGAAATCATTCCCCATTGCGCATGCACCATGTCCCTGGGTGGATTCGAACCACCGACCCTCCCACGAATTCGTTACTGTTTGGATGCCACAAACAGGTGGGAGTGAGTTACCATACTCCACGAGGACTTTCCAGGCTCATTTGGAGCCGCGATAGCTGCGCGTCCCAACGACCATAGATTCTAGTGACTCGATATTCTGGCTCTCGGACGAGGTGCAGGTCATACATAAGACGGGTATTCCAGCCCCAGAGGAAGAAACGAAAAAGAAAGAGGAAAAAAATTACTGTAAAGAGGAAGAAAAAAAAGAAGTTACGAAAACACGGTCCATGTTCCCGGGTGGATTCGAACCACCGACCCTCCCACGAATTCGTCACTATTTGGATGCCACATACAGGTGGGAGTGAGTTACCATACTCCACGAGGACTTTCCAGGCTCATTCAGAGCCGTGATAGCTTCACTCTTCCGAGGGAATTTGGATTGAATTTCAGTTGCTCAGATACCCCACGCTCTGTAATCGTTTGAGGCGCAAGTCATACGTGGGTCACTGCTCCAGAAAATACTAGAAGAGGAAGAAAAAGATAAGTCTTTTCTCCACGACCTATGTCCTCGGGTGGGTTCGAACCACCAACTCTCCCACAAATTTGCTACTATTCGGATACCGTAACAGGTGGGAGTGAGTTACCATACTCCACGAGGACTTTCTTTGAAGGTTCATTCAGAGCAGTGAGTCATAGTTGCGTATCTGAATCAAATACAGATTGCGGGCCACGTTTCTCGCCCTTGTTCAAGGCGCAAGGTCACAAACAAGAGGAAAAAGAACTTAGTGCACATGTGCCATGTCCCCGGGTGGATTCGAACCACCGACCCTCCCACGAATTTGTTACTATTTGGATCCCAGAAACAGGTGGGAGTGAGTCACCACACTCCACGAGGACTTTCCCGGCCCATTTGGAGCCACGATATTACCATACTCCACGAGGACTTTGCAGGCTCATTCAGAGCAGTGGTAGCTTCACTCTTCTGATGGGACACAAGCTACTCGACGCGGTCGTTCGAGGCGTAAGTCACGAACAAGAGAAAAAAGAAATCATTACAGACGCTCCATGATGTCCCCGGGTGGATTCGAAACACCGACCTTCCCACAAATTCGCTACTATCTTGATACCGGAAACAGGGGGGAGTGAGATACCATACTCCACGAGGACTTTACAGGCTCATTGAGAGCAATGAATGGTAGGTGCAGTGTGCACCTCTGAACCAATATGACGTTCTCGCTCCCGATCTTGTCGTTCAAGGCGCAAGGTCACGAAACAAGAGGAAAAAGAAACCATTGGACACGCACCATGTCCCCTGGTGGATTCAAACCACCGACCCTCTCACAAATTGTCATGCTTATAGCAGGTGGGAGTGAGTAACCATACTCCACGAGGACTTTCCAGGCTCATTCAGAGCAGTGATATGTAGCTTCACTCTTCTGAATGGACACTGTTCGACGTTCTCTCTGGTCGTTCGAGGCGCAAGTCATACATAACTAAGACGGGTATTCAAGCTCCAGAAGAAGAAGAAGAAAAAATAGAAGAGGTTGAAGAAGAAAAAAAACAGTACCCCAGACAGGATAATGTCCCCGGCTGGATTCGAACCACCAACTCTCCCACAAATTCGTGACTACCGGATCCTGACAGCGAATGAAAGTGAGTGACCATACTCCACAAGGACGTTTCTAGGCTCATTCAGAGCAGTGATAGCTGCGCATCTGAACCAATATGGATTGTGGCCACGTTTCTCGCTCTTGTTGGAGGCGCAAGTCACGAACAAGAGGAAAAAGAAATTAGTGCACATGCGCCATGTCCTCGGGTGGATTCGAACCACCGACCCTTGCACGAATTCGTTATTATCACATCCAGGTAGCAGATGGAAGTGAGTTACCATACTCCACAAGGACTTTCCAGGCTCATTTGGAGCTGTGATAGCTGCACTCCTCCGAGGGAACTTGGATTGAACTTCAGTTGCTGAGATACTCCACGCTCTGTGGTCGTTTGAGGCGCAAGTCATATGTGGGTCACTGCTCCAGAAAATACTAGGAGAGGAAGAAAAAAAAAGTTCCGAAAACACGGGTCATGTCCCCGGGTGGATTCGAACCACCGACCCTCCCACGAATTTGTTACTATTTGGATGCCACAAACAGGTGGGAGTGAGTTACCACACTCCACGAGGACTTTCGAGGCTCATCTGGATCGGTGATAGCCTGCGGCTCCAAACGGACTTTAGCCGCTCTCGTACTCTGGTCGTTGGAGGCGCAAGGCATACGGCTGGTATACGAAGACAGTTACGCCAGACACGGGTCATGTCCCCGGGTGGATTCGAACCACCGACCCTCCCACTCATTTTTTATCATATCCAGGTAGCAGGTGGGAGTGAGTTACCACACTCCACGAGGACTTTCGAGGCTCATCTGGATCGGTGATAGCCTGCGGCTCCAAACGACCATAGATTTCATTTGCTCAGTTTCGCGCTCTGGTCGTTGGAGACGCAAGGCTGGTATTCAAGCCCCAGAAGAATAGAAGAGGTTGAAAGAAAAAAGAAAAAAAGAAAGTTACGCCAGAGACTATCAAGTCCCCCGGCGGATTCGGACCACCGACACCTCTCACTGACCATGTACAGCACGCGGGACTGAGTTACTCGTACCGTACTCCACGAGGCCTTGACATCGCGTTTCAACCCATCTATTCTGCCCGCAGTACAAGTCCAGCCTAGCCTATCCTAAAAGTCCAGCCTAGCCTATCCTAAAAGTCCAGCCTAGCCTAAATACCTCACAGCCACGCGAGCACAACACCCGCGAGGAACAGCGCCGCCGCAGTGCTCGGGGCAGCGCGGAAGCCGGCACCGGGAGCGCTCTGCTGCGAACCCGGGGCACCAGTCGCATCGGGCGCAGATCCGTTGGAGGGAGCGGACCCGCCACTGCCAGACGACGACGAGCCGTCGGTGGGAGCTGCGCCGCCAGGAGAGGACCCGGAGCCGGTGGAAGACGACGATCCGGATCCGGATCCGGGTGCGGCGGACGAGGATCCGTTAGTGGGGGCGGCGCCGCCCATGGCTGCGGCCTGGAACGCGGCGAACGATTTGGCGGAGTTGGGGTCGGCGTTGACGGAGAAGACCATGCCCTTGGCGCAGTGCACGGCGGGGCTGGCACGCAACAGATACATCAGTATGCGGAAGAAGAAGTAGAATGATAAGAAGGAGCGGGAGCGTACTTGGTCTGCGCGCAGAAGAACCACAGCGGGGTTGTGGAGTCCGAGACGTTGAAGCTGAACTGGGGCAGCTGCGTGTTCTGGCCGTCGGGCACGTTCTGGAAGTCCGAGTCGATGCCGCTTTTGACGCAGGGGGCGGCGAAGGTGGATTGCGTGACGGACTGGGGGTCAGATTAGACGAGGGGCAGTAGAGGGAGGGGAGGGGAACGGGACGGACGTGGTTCTTGCTCATGAACATGAACGCAACGGTGTCTCCGGCTTTAGCGATGATGTTGGAGGGCGTGAACGTCAGCTGTGGATTGGTTGTCAGGGATGGCCGGTGAGGAGGTGAGACAAACGCACCGTGCCGTTTTCGCCGACATTGATGAGGAAGTCCTCCGCACGGACAGAGAGGAGAGGGGCCAGAACGGCGGCGGCGAGACCAGCAGAGAAACGCATTATGTCGAGAAAAAAAAAAGGGTGGTGATTGGCAGGGGTGGGAGGAGGCTGAAAAATGAACCAGTCGAGCCTGCGAAGGGAACGTGAGGAGAAGTCGAGTGGTGGCGGCAAATGGACGTACGCTGCTCTGGGATGCCAAGAAAGAAGTGGAAGAAAAGGAGACGAGGGCCGGGGGAAAAGAGTGCGACACGTCACGCAGCCGAGTCTTGCGGATACATATAGCTGCCGAAGCGAGTTGGGCTATTAATATAGCCCCATTGCGACCGCTCGTTGTCATGATGTCATGACTCATACGATAAATGCATCAAATCGTTGTCAAAACGCGCTAATATCGGGCGAAACGTTGTGGATAACCAGGGATAACCTCGTCAGAAACAGTGATGTAGACCTCACAGTGTAGCTTCCATCGTTTGGGACTTGTGTAGATCGTGATGAACACAGTAGAAAAGAAGTATAACCCTTCATTTACGGGGGAAGCGGATCAACTGTCTCGAGGGGAGCACAGCCCGTTTTGTACTAATCACGTCTATAGGAGCTGCGGGCGGCGACGGTCGGGATGGTCATATGCAAGATACCTGCTAAACATAGTCTCATTCCCAGACCTTCCAAGCCAGTCGACGTCGCTCACTGCGCTCGCGGCCAAATATCTTACCAGCTATCGGATCCTTGGTAATTGTTCCGAGCTAGAAATTCATGATGTGGGACTAGACGGCGTTTCACCAAAGAACCCGAAGTGTCCGACCATTGATGTGAGTGCATCGCCACATCGCTTGTTTTTCTCTTCCGCTCTCATGTCGACTCGGAGCCAAGTAGTCTCTCGTAGACAGGCCCGTCAATAGGAAAAACTCTGGACCCGACTGCGCACACCAACCAGTCTCCCTACCGTGTGGCCCACGATAATCACCTCGCGTCTGGATGGTCAGATCCCGCGTTAGATCTGCCTTCCCCATTAGGCGACGATGAACATGACGAGGCTGAGCAAACAGCTGGTTGCGTGACCCTCATACGCGAATCACCCCATGAATCCTGGATATACCCCTCTCTTTGATCAACTGCCAGGCACTCCAACTAAAGAACAGGTATGTACCCTCCCTGACGCTGGCCGATTCCCATCTCCTTGGCGCGCCACGTGTTTCGGGCCAACTCATCTCAGAGATCGGCTTCTGGAGAAGTCTACTATCGATGTTCGTACGGGACGAGAACTTCAAAAATAAAGGGAAAAAAAGAGAAAAGTCTTTCCTGCAGCCAGCTCATGTCCTCGGGTGGGCTCGAACCACCGTCTCTCCCTATTATGCAAAATCTCGAAACCGTAAATGAATGGGAGCGAGTTTCTTACTCAACAAGGACTTGTCTCCCTCTGAAATTTCCGGGCTGTATGGGTGCTCGATCCACTCTACAGGTTATGAATTGGACATGATCGACACAGGAACAGTACACAGCTGTACGCGATAATATCTTATTCGGACCCAAATCTCAACCTGGTACCCTCATTTCATGAGTTCCAACGAGAAATAAACGTCTGGCCGGGGAATGGACAAAAAAAAAAAAGTGTACATTCGACTCGCCACATCCCCGGGTGGATTCGAACCACCGACCCTCCCACAAATTTGCTACCATAATCGCACCACAACAAGTGGGAGTGAGTTACCCTACTCCACGAGGACTTCCCAGGTTTAGTCAGAGCAATGATAGCTGCACCTTCAAACGAACATGGATTCTAGTTGCCCAGTCACTCAACGATCTGGCCGTCCGAGGCGACCTGCATTCAAGTTCCAGAAACCAAGCAAAAAATTAGAAGAAGAAGAAGAAGAAGAAGAAGAAAAAGTAGTTTCCGTATCGTCCATGATTATGTCCCCGGGTGGAATCGAACCACCGACCCTCCCATACCTTCACAGTATCGGGTTAACGGCAGGGGAATGAGTTACTGTACTCCACGAGGACTTTCCAGGTTCATTCGGAGCGGTTATAGCTGTGCCTCTAAGCGAACATGGATTTTAGCTAGTTGCTCAGTTAAATACTCAACGATCTGGCCGTTTGAGGTGCATGTCATACGACCCGCATTCAAGTTCCAGAAAAGAAAAAAAAATCTAGAAGAGGAAGAAGAAGAAGAAAAGTAGTTTCTACATAGATCCACACTATGTCCCCGGGTGGATTCGAACCACCGACCCTCCCATACCTTCACAGTATCGGGCTAACGGCAGGGGAATGAGTTACCGTACTCCACGAGGACTTGACAGGTTTAGTCAGAGCAATGATAGCTGCGCCTCAAAGCGAGCATCAATTTTAGTTGATCAGTTACTCGACGGTCTTGCTCGTGATCTTCTCGTTCGAGGTACGTGTCATACGACCGGCGTTCAAGCTTCAAGCCCCAGAATGAAGAAGAAAAGAAAAAATGGAAGAGGAAGAAAAGAAAAAGAAAAGTTGAATCGATATGGACAATGTCCCGGGGCGGATTCGAACCACCGACCCTCCCATACATTCGCATTCCAAAGCCTTCACGGCAGGGGAGTGAGTTACCGTACTCCACGAGGACTTCCCAGCTTCATTCCGAATGGAGATAGCTGCACCCCTCTGAAGGAAAATGGATTTTAGTTAGTTGCTCAGTTACTCGACGTTCTAGCTCTTGATCCTGTCGTTCGAGGTACATGTCATACGACCGGCGTTCAAGCTTCAAACCCCAGAATGAAGAAGAAAAGAAAAAAAAAAAAGAGGAAGAAGAAAAAGAAAAGTTGCAATCGATATGGACCATGTCCCCGGGTGGATTCGAACCACCGATCCTCCCATACATTCATATTCACAAGCCTTCACGGCAGGGGAGTGAGTTAAAGTACTCCACAAGGACTTCCCAGCTTCATTCGGAGCGGTGATAGCTGCACATCTGAACCAATACGGGTGGTGAGCACCTTCTCGCCCTTGCTCTCGTCGTTCGAGGTACATGTCATACGCCTGGCATTCAAGCTTCAAGCCCCAGAATGAAGAAGAAGAAAAAAAAAAAAGGAGGAAGAAGAAGAAGAAAAGTAGTTTCCACATAGATCCACACGATGTCCCCGGGTGGATTCGAACCACCGACCCTCCCATAAATTCACAGTATCACAGGCTCACGGCAGGGGAGTGAGTTAAATTACTCCACAAGGATTTTTCAGGCTCATTCGGAGCGGTTATAGCTGCACCTCCAAAATGAACACGTAAAGTACCGCTACAATGTTTTCCTTAGGTTGTTGTTTTGATCTTCGCGAATACATGTCTTTGTCGACTTCCTATTCCTTGAATCCTGCATACAATGAATTGCTTTCGCCATATCTCTCGAGTGGTTTTTCGAAGGAACTGACTTCCTCCGACGCGTTAACTTGTACGTTGACTGGGTTTGCACTTGTCTCTCTTGACAGACGCTCTATATCAGCTCTAACGCGTACCTGGTTTGATATAGGTTAATTCACGTGTCTGCGTTTTTCAGGGGTGCGTTTGCGGTTAATGGGTTGAAGCGGTCGCTACGGCGAGGAAGTCGCTCCTCTTCTTTTCAATATTGGGGAGAAAGAGTAAGGAAGGTCGATGAATAAGCGACTTAAAACGAAGTCTCAATCGGACTTGGGGCGTCTGGATTGAGCGGGGATGGGCACCGTTCGTGGCTGCATCGAATATTTTTTATTAAACTCAGGGTAAGAGCAGACGGCACACAGCTGATGTGTCTTCGTTGCGCAATAACCTTTCTCGAGGTTGAGTATTCAACTATAGCTTTAAGCAGAAGGTAGCGCTGAGCGTAGTTAACGATAAGGAGCGGAATTTGAGCCATCGCATCAGACTTTTGACAAAAAACTTGTGACCTTGTACAAGGCCAAACAAGGTCACAATTCTCACCAAAATCGCCACAAGCTCGCAAGGTCACAAACCAAGTCTGGAAAACCACAAGGTCACTCGTTCGACTCCACACAGTGACAAAATTTTATTATCTTTTTGCAGTGCATCAACATGTCTGAAGATGCCGTGGCTCTACAATTCACAGAGACGGTCCTACAACCTTCTGAACAGTTTTTTTTGTCCAGCCCTCCATTTTCTCAGGTGTATTTGTTGGCACTTTGACCTTGTGAGCTTGTCGGCAAGCTCACAAGGCCAAACAAGCCACAAGTTATTTGTCAAAAGGCTGATGCATGGCACTATATACTACAACCAAGTACCACTGAGAGGGTGCTCATTATTCCAACACAAGACGTGCCTTCGCTTCGCTCCGGCACCGTACACTCAGAAGGTTTGAACTGTGAGGGAAAGCACGATCCATGTCACAAAGAGGTGTTTATTTTTCTGCGGTGACCTTGGCACGTCATTATTACGGTGTGGATTGATCTACCTAGTGCAATAACAACTGGATCTGTCTTGTAAAAAGTCCATACAGTAATAAATGCCAGTGGGACGTTGCAGGCGATGAGTTCTATCGTAAAACTGACCAGAACATGGAGCGATTAGGGTCTAAAGACTGAAGACGAGCCCACAGGTATGGATACAGCCGGTTATGCATATCTGGACCTTCGGTAAATATTGTTGAAATGTTTTGCATGTTATACGGGGCTCACCCTACTACTCACCCGGGCCCGAACACCCCACAGCTTCCTCCGACAGCACTGAACAAATGCAGCCCCACATTTGGCCGACAACTTGTCAAATAGTGACAGAGCTGACAGGGATAAATGAACGTACATGTTTCCGAGACGCTGACACTCATGATGGGCCTGCAGAGCTGGCGGACTGGGCTAGATTCGAGCTCTGGTGAGCTGAGAACCGTCAAAGATATGTTGATGATTACTCACACTTCAAATCGTCTCGTACTACATGCGTGAGGGAAACGGAACAGATAATTGGGATGGAACCGACCCGTCCGTGTATTTGCCTTGGTCACAATGGTTGCTAGATTGGATATCGGTTAGCATGAGCGATCGCTGTGAATGGAACACTGGACTAAATACATCTCTTGCGTCTGGACTTTGACCAGCATACCAAGCCGAATTAATTGAGGCCCCAAGGCGAGCGGCGTACAGCTTGCTCAAAATGTTCTCAGCACAACGAGAAGGCGACGGAAGACAGCGACTTGAAGTCGTGGGGCGTAGCTGGTCTATCCGAGGGTGCCGGAGTTGAGGTTTGGAATCTTGTCAGCGGTCTCAACCTTTACGTTGAAGGACTTGGTCCATTCGAGCGGTTGCAAAGTACACGACAGAGACCAACATAGTATAGCGAGTCTACCATTTTGTCGTTGAGCTTGTGGTCTTGACATTGCGATATATCATGCAGCGGCCCTTGCCGTAGAGTATATCTTGAGTACTGGCAGCAATTATAATCCAGAGTGGAGGAGCAGCGTCGTCGAATTGCAGTAGGCGGATTGCGCGAAGATGATGGGGGAAGGAAAGAAGGAATCGGACACAGGTGGTCCTTTTGAGCGGGTCTTAAACGGTAATCCGCGGTTGTGTAATGGTGTTGCCGGAGGTCGGCAGAGTTTTAACGCTGATCGGCGAACTCGTTCTCTGGGAAAGGCGAACCAAGTTAAGTATAGCTGGGAACGTGGTCCGGAAAAAAGCGAACTGACGTTATAGCAAACATGTACATACTGATTCGAGGGATCTCTTTAATATACGAAGTATAACCTACTAAGCAGTATAGATGTTGATGCTATTGCCAATAGCTCCGCAATCTCCGAGAGTCACGGGCTCCCAACAGGCGCAGCATCGCTGATATTGAGGCAGCGCTGGTCGAACTGGGACGTGACGAAGCAGCCCTCGCCAAGGAGCATGTTGCCAGGGGAGCCTTCAATGGTGCAACTAGAGCAGTTGAAGACCCAGTTCTGCGCGCTTTCAGAGTCGAGTGTCAACGAAATGGATGAGATTGCTATTACTGTAATACACAGACCTGGCAAGGGGGGATTCGAGAGCCAACATCTCAGGCAGAGCCGCACCGGTGTTGGTGAGGGACATTCCTTCGTCAGTCGCCTTGCTGCGGAGAGTGTCAACTTCAAAACGAAGAAGCCGAACAGAGAAACACTTACAGCAGCTTAAATTCGCCAGGCAAGTTCAATCTAGCCAGTGCCACAGCAAACTCGGAGACAGCTGTCGAAGTCGGCTGCGAAACCAAAGTTAACCCGTTCGGGCTGAACCCAGCTTCGAGAGGGCCGTTAGTGATGCTGATAGTCTTGCCTGCGAAGCCAAGACTGCAAATGTCACGACGAGCGGGGCTGGCGCTGGCGAGGAGGACGGAGAGGAAGATCGAAGCGATGGAGAGCATGCTTGAGTCGAGTGTCTGAGGCTTTGTTGACGAAGAATAAGCTCTGGACAAGGGTCCGATTTTATACTCGTTGAAAGCGCCGGTACTCCCGGAGAGGCGGCTACAACAATGCACAAGAGAGCGCTAAAGCGGATCTAGGTACAGAGTAGAGACCGAATATGTTCCAACAGTCTTGCCTGGAGCTACCGGGGCTCATCTGTGTGTTGGATGCTGAGCCTGCACGCCACATGCGATCAACATGGGAGACACGTGCACTGCTGCGGGCGGTACTCTCATGAGCCTCACCACTACTATTTTAGTCCCCCATGTGTCCACGGCTGTGAGCGCATGCAATAACTCTCTATCTTCTACCCAAATTCTTCTCGGCAGCTGGATTTACGATCCTTTTAAGCCTCTGAAATATTTTCAATTTTTTTTGGACTCCAGTTGTAGAAGATATGAACGTTGCGCTGTTGGAAGCAGAAGTCGAATCGGATTTGGTAGACGTTTTGGCGTGTGGAAAAATGTCGTAGAAATCCTCCTTTTCATTTCTTTTGTGCGCTGTAAAACTTCAATCGGACTCAGATCTGCCAGACCATTGCTGCAGTATGTACATTCATCCCTCAAATTTTCTAGAGAGAACGGGTTCGAAGTAGGGATGGAATCATGAATATTTTCACATCAGTGCGCGTGGACACACA